CGCCGGTGCCCCTCACTCCCGACCCGCAGCCCCTGCTAGCCCAGGGCTCCCCCCAGCCACGCCGGTGCCCCTCACTCCCGACCCGCAGCCCCTGCTAGCCCAGGGCTCCCCCCAGCCCCGCCGGTGCCCCTCACTCCCGCGGCCGGCTCACGGGGAGGGCCGCGCCAGTCGTGTGACCGCGCTGCAGTCGTAGAAGACGAACTCCGTCGCCGCCACCACCACGTCCTCGAACATCAGGGACAGCGCCACGGTCACGTGATCTGGGGGCGGGGCATGAGCCTTAATGCCCATCCTCCACCCCATCCGCCTCTCACCCTACCCAGAATCCTCTGCAAAGAGCGGCTCTCCCTCCCCCATTGGCATCCTGCCCCTACCCAGAATCCTCTGCAAAGAGCGGCTCTCCCTCCCCCATTGGCATCCTGCCCCTACCCAGAATCCTCTGCAAAGAGCGGCTCTCCCTCCCCCATTGGCGTCTCTCCCTTACCCAGAATCCTTTGTTCCATTCCCAATCCCAGTGCTGGGTGATGGAGGGAGGACCAGACCCTTCCTCTATCTCTGCCCCATTCACAGCCCCACTCCATGCTGACCTTTGCCCTCCTGGCTGGGTGGCACCTGGGGGCTGGGGGGCGAGCGGCAGCGGACCCAGGCGTCCTGCAGCAGGGCGGGGCTGTCATGCTCCCCGAAGGCGCAGTGGTAGCTCTCGCCCTCAGCCAGGGGGGGCAGCCGGGGCACCCACAGCGAGACCTGGGGGAGGGAGACATGGAAGGGTGTCACGGATCCAAGGGGGTGAGCCTCCCAAAACGCTCCTCCTTCTGCCCCGCCCCCAAACCTCCCAGCCCCGCCCACAACTCCAGCTCCGCCTATCTCAGCCCCACCCACAACTCTAGCTCCGCCCATCCTGGCCCCGCCCACAACTACCAGCCCCCGCCCATTACACCCCCACCCCAACTCCCGGCCCCACCCACACCCAGCCCCGCCCATGACCTGACCCCACCCCTCCAACCCCCATCTCTCCCAGCCCCTTGATCCCGCCCCCTCCTGCAGGCTCCTCCCCCAGTCGCTCACGTCCGTCTGCTCCTCGCGGCTCTGATTGGCCGGCATCACCGTCTCGACGCGCAGGCATTGGCTGCTGGCCCCGTAGCTCCACAGCCATTGGTCGGCTGCCTCAAAGCGCTCGCACTCCAGCTTGCGGGTGCACCTGCCGACCGGCCAATAGGGTGAGGGGACAGCAGGGGAGCAGCCGATTGGCCGGGCGGGTGCGTCCATCACCTTTCACCACAGGCTGATAGCCCAGGAGCCCCACCCACTGCCCTCATAGCCCCGCCTCCCCACCCGGCCTGGCTGTTTTTATGTAGGTCCTACATAAACAACGGCACCTCGTTTCCCTTTTCGTGCACCTCATTGACCCTCCCCCCACTAAGCAATTGGCGCTTGGGGTTTGTGTAGGTCCCACGTAAACGAGACTCACCGGCCCTGCAGGATGCACCAGCCGCAGAAAGGGTCCCGGGCGCGGAGGCAACCGGCGCAGTCCTGGAAACGGGGGCACTCGGAGACCGGGACCTTGGTGACCTGGGTGCCGGGGGGGGGGGCAGAGAGTGAGGACAGGGACAGAGACCCAGCCCCCCGAGACGCAGCCACCAGCCTGGCCCCGCCCCCTGGCCCCCCAAGACGCAGCCACCTCTGGGGTGGAGCAGTCTGGCCCCACCCGTCCAGACTCCCCCCCCCCCCGAGATGCAGCTGCCTCTGGGGTGCAGACCGGCCCCCTCCCCAAGACGCAGCCACCTCTGGGGCGGAGCACCCTGGCCCCCGCATGCCTGGCCCCCCAAGCCTCGCAGCTGCCTCTGCCCTAGACCAGGGAGGGGTCGGGGGGCACCTGGGACTCCGTCATGGCGTAGAGGTGGGTCCCGCTGCCATCCAGGAGGAGATCGGGGCTGACCGGGGAGCGCTGGCCGAGGCGCACGGAGCTGTACACCTGCCCCATGGAGGAGTTCAGATACACCTGCATGGGGGATGGGGAGGGGGTTAGGCACGAGACGGGGGCAGCCCCCTCTCCAGCAGCCTCAGCCCACACACGGCCCTGCTGAGATGCAACCAGCTCTGGGGTGGAGCCCCCCACACACACCTTGTGCAGCTGCCCCAGCCCGTCTCCGAGGAAGGCGATGGTGTGTCCGGCCTCCACCATCGCCGCCACAGCCGTGAGCATCGGCAGCCCAGTCACCAGGGCGCTGGCTTCCACGGGCACGCGGCCGGCGATGGGGCTGGGGGTGTGCTCGTCTCCGCAGGGGTAAACGTCCGGGGACTCCTGGGGCGAGACACGCAGGGGTGAGCAACGGGCCTGGGTATCCGGGGACCCGTCGGGGCAGGGTGGGGGGCTGGTTACCCGGGGACCCCCCTGGGACAGGGCAGGGGGCTGGTCACCCGGGGACCCGTCGGGGCGGGACAGGGGATCGGTTATCCAGGGACCCCTCCGGGGTGGGGGGCTGGTTACCCAGGGACCCCTCCGGGACAGGACAGGGGGGCTGGTTACCCGGGGACCCCCCTGGGACAGGGCAGGGGGCTGGTCACCCGGGGACCCGTCGGGGCGGGACAGGGGATCGGTTATCCAGGGACCCCTCCGGGGTGGGGGGCTGGTTACCCAGGGACCCCTCTGGGACAGGGCGGGGGGCTGGGTACCTAGGGACCCCTCTGGGACAGGGCA